CATACCTAACAAGATATCCATAGGGAGATCATCGCTCACTAGGAACGAGACGCGATGTCTCAGTTCCCCTCCCGCGTACGGGAAACAACACTCAACATCCTGGAGGTAACAAGATATCCATGGGGAGATCATCGCTCACTAGGAACGAGACGCGATGTCTCAGTTCCCCTCCCGCGTACGGGAAACAACACTCAACATCCTGGAGGTAGTCGTTGACTACCATGCGCTGTTTGTTGGCACAAGTCGACTCCACAGGTCGACTCAGGCGCTGCACTTGCCCCTGTAAGTGCAGTCTCTCAACGCTTGCGCGACTAATGAAGTTCCTTGTCGAGCAAGTGTCATAATAGGCCCCGGCCTTGCGGCCGCCGATGACTACCTCGCCGACGAATATCTCTCCCTTAGGGGCTTTAGCCAATGCCGTCCAAGAAGCTAGTGGGTCTGATCTAGACCACTCCTCCTCTAGCTTCGGACTCAAACACATTCATCGAACAAAGGCTCGATGGGTCTGAATGTGTTTGTGGGACGAGGATGGAGTCGGTAGCTTGGGCTATCTCTCGAGATGGTGAGGGTGTGTCCACCACCTTGACCCTAGCAGGAACAACTACTATTCCTACTGGCCCGACGCGTTTCCCGGAGCAGTGCCAAAACTGCTGGCCACATTGCTGCCAACGGGAGCGGAGGATCCCAACGCCTGCCCCATTGTAGGCGGGATCTTTTCGGTCACCTTCTTATTGCGACACTTGAATTGGTTGTGGCCATATTGACCACAGCGAATACAGGCCTGCCTGGTGTACCTGTCTCTCCACATGTCCTCTGCTAGACCCGCTTTCTCCCATGGAGGAGCATTGGGGTCAACTTGACTCCTAGACCGGGAACCTCCACGGCGTCTTTCGGTCGCCTTACCTTTCTGAGCTAAGGCAGTGACTACTCCACCCCCTGAAGCTTCTACGCTGCCTGCCTCTGAACCTACTCCCGCCTGGAACTCGTCATCCAACTCGATGGTAGAACCATCGTTGTCAACGAACATAATACGACCTTTCGCCTTCCAATCACAACCAATGGAAGGTACCCCGCCGGTGCTTATTTATAGACACCCGGTCTCGTTTGTCCCATAGGGCTGGCCTGCCCTTCAGAACCCCTCTACAGCGCAGCGAGAAGACAAAGGATAAAGCAGCAAAGCATGCATGCTCTACTCCCGGTGGGTTGGCATGGTGACCTTGACCCAGTGCTTCGTCCAGGGCCCTTCAGATAGCACCGCCCTCTCCTTCCATATGCTCCACGTGAAGATTGACGACTCTCAAGGTTGAGCGCACACGACTCCTCACATGAGAGGACTCTCAAGACAGAACACACATCCTCACGGCAAGAAGTGTCGAAGAGGGTAGATAAGGTTAGCTGCAACGTACCTCAAAATAGCTGCCCCCAACCACAGATATTCTCACCAGATGACCCGATGTTGATTGTGATGACCAATCACTGCTTCGGCACAACGAGCATTGCACAACCGTTCCACCTCAGCATCAATCGCACACCGGATTGTTCTCATCACACTGCGAACACCCAATAATCACCGCTTAGCCTTCCTGGCGAACCCCTCTCCACCTGGGTTGCCTACTTATCTTCGCCCTCCTCACTACACACGTCCCACGGCACAGTCGCTCACCGCACACACCGTGTGCATGTACCGCATTAGGCAGAAGATAAGTGCCAGATTAGCGCACCGAACCACAGCTCCGATACCAAATTGCAAGGAAGATGAGCAATAGCGAACTTCAGCAATCAAACAGCATCATACACATGAGACCAGACAGTCGTGACCTCGAACCAATAGCAGAATTGCATCACGAGTTTCACCAAATAAGAGCACACCAAAAGCTCATAATTGACAATGCTGGAATGGTCTCATCATCATCAACGAAGAACCAATGTTCATATCCTATCTGGCGCTCGGCGCCCAGACTACGAATGCCAGATCCTATCACGGTCTGGCCACCTGGGACCCGGGCAGCCCGGTTGGTAGCCTAGGTCTTTACTGTGTGGACTAGCCCCGGTGCCATCATCCACCACATCCTCTCCTCGCATGTCTCAAATGCGGTGTCGGTCATACACCTACGGCAACTGCAGACGGATCTCCCTCTTCCTTGCCAGACAAATGACAGACACAGCAGCCTGAGGAGGAAAATAGACTTCCATATGAACCACCTGCAGAGCGATGTGCTGATAGTTTATCACCACCAGGGTGAACTGTTGTGGACCAAATCCTGCTGCAGGTGAACACCCATGCTTTGGACCAATCCTTCCTGTCGTCGTCTGCCCATACAGAAGGAATAAATCCTGGGGAAACCCAAGAGAGATGCTCCATGCTGCTTTGTGATGACCCACCGAAGATTCAAGTAGCATGTGGTTCGCATGTAGTGTGCCGTGAGGATTATGAAGAGATAGTCCACGCGAGTTTTTTTCTTTCATACGTACGACGGCAGTCAGTACTTTACTCATGTATGGCACCTTGACATGTGATGTCCAATTTGTAGACAGGGGCTGGAACCGCAATGCCTCTGTATTGTGGTCGACGTGCCTCCATGTTCCTAGCATGTAGGAGCCACGTAGCCTGTGACATCTGTCTGCGCCGCGCCATTCGATGCGGCAACTGCGACGGCGAAAATTGGATGTGGTGCTTCCACAGTCCGCACACGAACCAGTCCTGTCCAGTCTGTAGGTGTGGCCAGTTACCATAGGCAATAGCTCTGCTCCTCAACTCAAAAGCGTATGCAACCCAAACACTAACTGACCTCATGTGCCATTCTAGAGTAGTATGTTCCGGCGGTGAGTATTTAGAATTCTGTGAAGGTCGTCATATACCTCTGCCCTGCCCTTTGCATGTCATAATCTATCCTGCCCTTCACATATTTCTTTCCTGCCCTTTGCACCCCACTTCCCCCTACCCCACACTCCTATAGAACTCTGCCTACTCTCCCTTTCCCTCCACCCTTCCCTTATATGCTACTAGCAAATACATACAGATGAGCAGTGTTAAGAGAACAGATGAAGCATAAGCTGAAGATCCGAAGTGAAATGAACAGGAGTATGAAGATGAACGACAGACACGAAGACTAAGTATAAGGTGAAGATCTGAAGTGAAATGAACAGGAGTATAAAGATATGAATTGAAATGCGCAGGAGCATACCTTCCCCTTTACTCTGCCTCCTGTTATAATGTGCAAGTGGGCCGTTAAGGCACACGGGGATGTGGGCAGCTGCCGCTTAACCACAATCAACGTGGGCAGCCTTGTCCGTGAAAGGTGTAGTAAAAGAGGAGCTGTTGCCCAAAAGAAACCCCAGCTAAACACAGTTCTAAATGGTTCTATGATTCATGTTGCTTGCTAAAGAGGTGAAATTCCTGAATTGTTAGGCTGGCTGAACTCGAGTCTACACGTCTGGGTGGAATAGGGGCTGTTGTGGTGGAAATTTAACACACGCACACAGACGTAGTTGGAATTTAAAAAAGCACCAGTAATCCGTTCAGGAAGTCAATGTGCCAATCTTTCTCTGCTACGTTTCATTCGCTTACACCTTTTTTTACGACAAAGAGAATCTCAAGATATTCAATGTAACTAGACAAGCTGCAAAAAACAACGTGCTTCATTGTCTGCAATAGAGGTAAAGTTGCTTTGATTTTTGGATCTACTCATCTGGGTGGAACAGGGGCGGCTGTGGTGAAAAATCTACAACACAGGCACACACACACACACACACACACACACACACACACACACACACACAGAGAGAGAGAGAGAGAGAGAGAGAGAGAG